CTATTTTGTTATTTTCGATTCAAGGCGATTAACAATTTGAATATTAATTAAACGAAATGCTTTTCAGCAACACACAAAACGAAAACTTGCATGAGTGTATGAAATCTATAAGCATTGCATTTGTTATCTAGTAGCAGATCTAAACATACGTCAATATATGTTTATGTATCTGGGATGTTTTTGGAGTGGAAATGGCACCCAAGAGAGAGAAGCAAACTGTCGAACAACCACAGGAGCAGCCGGAGGTTCAGGAGGACAGCGACGATGCAATCTACCGCGAGCCCTGGTACTCCACACTCATTCAGATCGTGCTGCCCTTCTTTCTGGCCGGCATGGGAACTATAACGGCGGGCATTATGCTGGGCAATGTCCAGCACTGGACCGTGTACAAGCAAATGACCGAGCTGTTCGTGCTGGTTCCAGTGCTATGCGGCCTCAAGGGCAACCTGGACATGTGCGTAGCTGCCCGATTCTGCACGCACTCGAATCTGGGGCACTTGAAGAACAAAGGCGACACCTGGAAGATCGTCATTGGCAACATGGCGCTGGTTCAGGTGCAGGCCATTGTCTGCGCCCTGCTGCTGTCCACCTTCACAATGGCTATCACATCCGGGGTGGCCCACAAGCTGAAGTTCGAAAACTTTTCCACGCTGACAGCGGCGGCCCTGATCACATCCAGTACCGCGTGCTTGATCCTCGACTCGGGGCTGATGGTCATCATCCTGTTCTCCCAGCGCTACAGCTTCAATCCGGACTACATGGCCACGCCGATTGTGGCCTCCATCGGGGATGTGGTGACGATCAGTCTGCTCTCCTTTAGCTCTGCCTACATGTACGACCTGGCCAAGTCGTCCATGTGGATTAATGTTTCCATAATGGCCTGCTACCTGGCGGTCTTGCTGCCCCTTTGGCTGATAGTGGCACTCCGGAACAGCTACACACGCCCGCTCCTCATGATGAGCTGGGTACCAGTACTGGGAGCGCTGTGCATCAGTGAGTTTGGGGGCTTTGTGCTCTGCTCGTCGGTGGAGCAGTTCATGGGATTCGCCGTCTTCTCGCCCATCATCAATGGCATCGGCGGGAATTTGGTTTGCGTGCAGGCCAGCAACATGGGCACCATCCTGCACAGACGCTCCATGCTCGGTCAGCTGCCCACGGACACGCGCATCTGTGAGTGGCCGCACAGAGTGTACTTCTATGGCACTGTTTACTCCCGAGTTTCACGTATTCTGATTATTGTCTCCATACCGGGAAACGTGATTCTCGTGTATATCGCCGATTATCTCTATAAGGGGCACATTTCTGTTGGTCCTGTGTTCTTGGGTTCCTTTGCTCTGACCAGCCTGCTGCAGCTGCTCATACTCCTGTGGAGCGCCCACTTCCTGGTGCATCTGCTCTGGAAATACAGGATCGATCCCGACAGCTCTGCCATTCCCTATCTGACGGCTCTGGGAGATGGCCTTGGCACAGGCCTACTCGCCGTCATGTTCCGTCTGCTGCGATACTTCGACAAAGAATACACTGCCAATGAACCTATGTTCAGAATCAAGTTGAACATATGAATGTGGCTAATAAATGTTAACTGATGTAATAAAATGATGATGAAGCTTACTGATGTGAAATTTCATTTGTTCTCATTTTTTCAAACAGTCCGACATTGGTGCGAAGCTCTAGAAATTATACAGTCTCATTCCTTCTTTATATATATTTATATATGCTACAATTATGCTGCTTACGCTACTTCCTATTTTTGGCTAATGGGTAATGATAGTAATGATTGGGTATTGCATATCCCAACTATTGCACATTCGACAAGGCACAAGAACCTTAAACTCCTTTCGATTTAAATTATTGAGCCCATCATTTTGTTTTACCTATTTCATTGTTTTTCTCCGTATTGAGTTTCTAAAATATAAAGATCACAACAATAGAATATTGATATATGAGTGTACATCCAAATATCAAGCATCGTTTTTTAGAAAAATTCAGCCTAACCTACAAAATGACAATACCCATAAAAGTATAACGGTCGCAAAGGTTTTTGAGGTTCAACAAATGAAAATCGTCAATACTATAACGATTTCAAATATATAATATATATTAAACCGAATATCAAAATCAAGGAATATGGTTTCCGATCATGGGCAGAGAACAAGTGGGTATTTTAATACCCTCCACGAAAATTATGAACCTTAAACAATTTTAGCGCAGTTCAGGGGAAAGATATCGTGGTCTTTTTTTAAGTAAAGTTAAAATAAGGATTTACTCAAGTTGTTAACCTGTTTATATAAAGGGTTAAAGGGCTTAAGTGTTCGTTATTTCATCGGTATATTTACGGTATATTTTGAAAATGTGACGGTATATTTTGGTATATTTCTGAGGGTCAGACCGTATATCTGATAAATAAATCCGGGGTCACACTGTCCAAAAGTGAGTCAGGCGGTTCATCGTGCGGTTGCAATTTGATTTATTTCGTTTTTTCTATTAAAAGTCATAAAAAAACACACAGCAAAATGTCGACTATGGCAAGTCCTTTATCTATTGCGGGCACGCGGCAGTCTGGAGCGCCGGTGCGCACACAGAATGGTAAGAAACATTTGCTTTTAACGACAGCTGCAGAGCGCGTCTGTCTGTCTGCCGGTGGGCGAAGCACGTTTCTGGTCAGGCGGTATGTTACGGGCCCAGAATGTTCCCGAACAAAGTTGTCGGAGGCTTTCCCAATGAGAAGCGAAGGTTTATCTAATGAATTCATAGTATACCTGATGATAATATGAGTTCTCCTGTAAACAGTGCAAAGTGAGGTTATGACTCCATTTTCCATCCTGTCTTTTCTTTAGTTATGGCCGCGCTGTCCATATCCAACATTGTGAAGAGCTCCTTGGGGCCGGTTGGCCTGGACAAAATGCTGGTGGACGACATCGGTGATGTCACGGTAACCAACGATGGAGCCACCATTTTGCGATTGCTCGAGGTGGAGCACCCAGCCGCCAAGTAAGTAGATGGCAGCAGGCACAATGTGAATGATGATTAATTGTGGTCTCCCAAGGGTTTTGGTTGAGCTGGCTCAGCTGCAGGACGAGGAGGTCGGAGATGGCACCACATCTGTGGTCATTTTGGCCGCCGAGCTGCTGAAGAATGCCGACGAGTTGGTCAAGCAAAAGATCCATCCCACTTCGATCATCTCCGGCTACCGTATTGCCTGCAAGGAGGCCTGCAAGTACATCTCCGAGCATCTGACTGCCCCAGTGGACGAGCTGGGTCGCGATACGCTGATCAACATCGCCAAAACTTCGATGAGCTCCAAGATTATTGGCGCTGATTCCGATTTCTTCTCCACCATGGTTGTGGATGCTGCTCAGTCCGTTAAGATTACAGACCCCAGGGGCCAGACCGCCTACTCGATCAAGGCCATCAATGTGCTGAAGGCCCATGGAAAGTCGGCCCGGGAATCGGTGCTGATCCCTGGATACGCCCTCAACTGTACCATTGCATCTCAGCAGATGCCGAAGAAGATTGTGAACGCAAAGATTGCCTGCTTGGACTTTTCGCTGCAGAAGACCAAAATGAAGATGGGAGTGCAGGTGCTGATCAACGATCCCGACAAGCTGGAGGCCATTCGTGCGCGTGAGCTGGACATCACCAAGGAGCGCATCAACATGATTCTGGGCACTGGTGTGAACGTGGTTCTGGTCAGCGGCGGCGTCGATGATCTCTGCATGAAGTATTTCGTTGAGGCCGGAGCCATGGCTGTGCGCCGCGTGAAGAAAAGTGATCTGAAGATCATTGCCAAGGCCACTGGTGCTGCTTTCCTTACCTCTCTGACGAATATGGATGGTGAGGAGAGCTTCGATGCTTCGATGGTGGGTGAGGCCGCCGAGATTGCACAGGAGCGTATCTGCGATGATGAGCTCATTCTCATCAAGGGAACAAAGGCTCGGTAAGTACCAGATTCAAAGACTTTTCGAATGGAAAAAATTTACATATTAATTCTTGTTTAGCGCTGCTGCTTCCATCATTCTCCGTGGTCCCAATGACTTCTACTGTGATGAGATGGAGCGCTCTGTGCACGATGCCCTGTGCGTGGTGAAGCGCGTGCTGGAGAGCAAAAAGGTGGTTGCTGGCGGTGGCTGCGTGGAAGCCGCTCTGTCCATCTACCTGGAGAACTTTGCCACATCGATAGCCTCCCGCGAGCAGCTGGCCATTGCCGAGTTCGCCAAATCGCTGTTGGTCATTCCCAAGACACTGTCCGTGAATGCGGCCAAGGATGCCACTGATCTGGTGGCCAAGCTGCGCTCCTACCACAACTCCAGTCAGACCAAGTCCGAGCACTCTGGTCTCAAGTGGACCGGCCTGGATTTGATCGAGGGCGTAGTTAGGGACAACAAGAAAGCTGGCGTCCTAGAGCCCGCCATGTCAAAGATTAAATCCCTGAAGTTTGCCACTGAGGCAGCCATCACCATTTTGCGCATTGACGACATGATCAAACTGAATCCGGAGGACAAGAGCGGCAAGAGCTATGCCGATGCCTGTGCCGCCGGCGAGCTGGACGGCTAGGGCGTGCGCAAATGACACGTTTTCTACTCTGTTTAGGCATTTAATTTTAATCAAAACACTACCCCACGCCACTCACTTTCAATTGTCGCTCCCACATTTCACATTTCATGTAATAACAATTGAATTGTTTTTTGCGATTTGTATTAACACAGCACATCTGTAATCTGTAATCCTTTCTCATTCACGCTTCAAGGCATAATAAATGAAACTTCAGGATATGCTGAGGCGCCAACTAAACTGGAGATCAATTGTTTATGTTTCTCAAATTCTTTTGGGGAGAGCAATTGCCTTCCGCGAGAGAGCTCTGCTCCGGAGAGCAGATTTTTCGTCGAGAGTTCCTATAAATAGCATCTGCCACTATTTCGTTTCGTCTATTAATACGGAAAAGAAAACATCAAATAGTCAGAGCAGCCATAACGCACATTGCTCGGAGAATTTGTTGGTATATTTTTTTGGGTAATAATTTCCATAAAAATAAAATGTCCGGAACAATTGACGAGGGCGCTGTTGGAGGCGATGTGAACAATAATGACACAGATCTGGCCACTGCCAACGAGCAGGAGGAAGTGCAGCCACAACCACAGCCACAGCTGGAGCACCAGCAGCCACAAAATGAGCTGCTCGATATGGTTTTCACATTGGAGAGCGAGAAACAGGCGTTGCTAGAGGAGTCTCGAAAGAGAATCGGAGCACTTCGAAAAGATTTTGAGGTTAGTATCGAACATCCCCATCTATTGAACGAATCTGCATCGAATCGCCCCATTCAAGGAATCGAAATTCGAAAATGAGCGGTTAAAGAAGCGTGTGGCTCAGCTGGAGCAGGCCCTCAAGCAGTCCGTCATGCTGGGCGGGACAGAGGCGCCCAAGTCTCGCCAAGAACAGGAGGAGCTGCTGCTCAAGGCAAAGACACTGCTGTTCGAGAAGACCAAAGTAAACAAGCAACAGGAACAGCAGATCTCCGTGCTGAAGAAGCAGGTGGAGTCCGTGAAGGACGTGGTCCAAGTGACCAAGGACATGCTGCAGCTGAAGACCGCAGAGTGCGAGCACACACAGGAGCGACTGGAGAAGAGCCAGCTGTGGATCAAGGCCGAGCAGGATAAGTGTGCACTGACCGAGAAGAAACTGGTCATATCCAAGGGCGTGTATGACAAGTTGCGGGCAGAGTATGACACACAATCGAAGATATTCAAGGTTGGTTACATTTGGGGGGCACGATTAGGTTTACAGCCCATTAACCTTGGTTAATTTGCAGGATCTGAGGTCCGCCTACGAGCAGAAGATAAAGGTTCTGAGCGTTGCATTGGAGGAGGCCAAAAAATAGTGGAACAATTTAATAAACTATGTTAATTAAATGCACACATCGTGTTTATAAGTTTAATAATTTAATTCTTTCTGTTCTGCTTCATTGCCCAATCACGTCACTCCTGTCCCATTCCCGCGACGCCTGCCTAGGCGCTCTGGTTGGATTGCTGCTGCTGCTGCTGGGCCTGCATCATCTTTACGGCGGCCGCCTGCTTCATTTCCAGCACGCCAACCACAGAGTTCAGGAAGCGCGTCTTTTGCAGGTGTATCTTTTCAATTTTCTCGATCTGCTCTTGCACATATTCGACGCGGCGCTTGAAGTAGTCCTTGGAGCCCTCTAGATCCTATCAAGCAAACAGATGTTTTAACAGCCAGTCTGGGACAGTAGTAGCAGGGATATTAATTACCTTTTCGATGTAATAGCCGGTGCCGATGTCTATGACAAAGTTGTTAAGGTCCTTCACGCGTCCGGGAACGTACATGCTGCTCGTCAGTGGCACTAGTATCTGACGGTTCTCCCAGTCCGGCTGGAACGTTTCCAACGCCTCTTTGGAGCCAGCGTATTTGGCTTTGCAACCATGCAGAGTCGACAGCGACTCCTGTATGTTACCCATCTCCTGCGGAAATACAGGCAAAGACGAGTTTTATTAGCATGTGCTGCATTCCATTCTCCCACTCCCTCGCCCCGCACCAGCCATCCTGACTCACACGCGCCGCTAGTCAGAAACACCCACACGCGGGACTCACCTGCTCGAACTCTTGCTTAATCTGCATCAGCTGGTCCGGACTGAGCTTAGTGAGATCGATCATCTCAGGCTTTGCGGATGCGCTTGAGGTACCAGCCATTTTTACTAATTTATTATTTTTATAATTTTAAAAGTTGGAAAAAATTGGACACGCAGTGTGACCGCGGATAAAATATACCGTCGGACCCTCAGAAATATACCGTCTTATTTTCAAAATATACCGTAAATGTACCAAGAAAAAAACGAACTTATACTACTTAGCACCCCTCTATTTGAACAGGTGAACAGCTTGAAAAATTTAAGATATGTCGATTTTGCACTGAACACATAATTTCTACAAGATTGCCCAATTTCAACGACTCCTATTTATTGGATTATGTTTAAACTTTCCCACTTTGAAATCCCACAAAACGGCTATCGTTATTATCGATTGGATATTGGAGCGCGCCTAACTTAAATGTATCAGCGACAACGATATGAATGCAGTCCAATGGAAAAAATAGAATTAGAGAGTCCACGAAAGAGAATTAAGCTGGTAGTTAATATTATTTTCGAAAATAGCACCCTCTTATGTGGGGTGGATCAGCCTGTCTGGATGATTCACATGATTCGCTCGCTCCCTAGCTTCCAATTTGACGACACCAACATCTACTCGGCTAGAATGATAAAGGTTATCTAATGACTGGTGCAGTTACAGTGCCGATCCATATACAGGAGCTGCTATATAAACATATACATACATACGTGGGCAAGCCTCCCTATAATAGTGAGACATTATAGTTATCTATATTATAATAATAATAATATTATTATTATTACATCATATGGAAAGTACAAATATTATAGAATGTAATACGATTTTTGTGCAAAATGTTTTAAAGCTCGGAAGTTTAAAATGTGCTGTGTTCATTTCAAATAATTCAAATAAATGACTATACTCTTCCTCATCAGAAATCTTTACTACTCTATTTAGTTTCCTAAAACTCAAATGTGATAAATATCATTTTCAGATTTCCTTACAGAACCATAGAAGTGGATTCTTTAAATTCGAACACAACTCGAACCAAAGGAAAACTCAATCTTTAGTTAGTTTTTTTTCAATTATATTTTATTGTATTTATTATATGCAATGTTATAATTCTGTGTTTTGTCAGTCATTCTGTATTTGTATGCATTTTTACCGTTTTCGTTTTTGGTTTTTCTCGTAAATTATAAAATCTAACATAAAACAAAGCAATTTGTTTAACAATCACTGCCGCTACATATACATATACACGTTACAATTTTTTAGTTAAATATATATATATATATATATATATTTGTGGGTGTTTGGGTGTTGTTGTCGGTTTATATATGTATATATTAGATAACAATGATATTAAGCCTAAGTAGAAGTAAGTTTTAGTACCGATATTCGTACCTCGCTCTCTGCGATTTGCCCTCGCAATCGCCATCGCCATCTCCTGTTCCAATTACCATTGATCGATTTCTCGTAAGTTACATGCTTTAACTATTTACTGTTATTTACTGTTACCCATACAAATAACTGTACTTGCCTCGCACTTACCATACATACATATATCATACATCCACATAACATTTATCTTGATTCAATCGTTATTCGGTTGGTTCTCTAATATATTGTATCTTATTGGGAAAACGTAAGTTGCATGGCGTGTGAAATTTTGCAGTAGTTTCGGAATATACTTGAATTCTCATTTTGATTTCGTTATCGAGACTGTGTGGGGGTATGTGTGCAAAGCAAATTTTGTATCTATAAGTACATATTGAATTTGGTTTTCTCTGGAATCGAAATGAATAAACTTTTGTGGTTTACGAGTAGTTTAAATGCAGAGTTTTCCTTGTGCAGCATTAACATTGTGAGGAGATAGAGAGAAAGTTATTTGGGAGAGAGTGTTACATACATACATGTAATATATCATTAAGTGGGAATGGTTTTCTTATCAACAGCATTCATTCGAAACTCTGTTGCTTCTCGTTTGGTTTCCATTATCGAATCGAAGGGACGTAATACACAATAATCATAGTTTTTCGTTTTGTTTTTTTTGTTCATTATACATTTTTTCGTATGCATGTATATGTTGTATAGATGTACATATATAAATAGTATAGTTTTGTTTGTGTGTATGTCTTGTATAATAGATTTATGTTTGTATGTGTGAGAGTGTGTACTTGTAGTTGTAATTGTCCTAGGTGTCCAGCTAGATTCGCTAATTTGTCTTGTGGTTTTTGTTTGGTATCGCCTCGGTTCTCCGTTCCGTCCTTTTTGTATACAAGTTTGAGGGTTTTAAAAAACTCGAAAATATATCAAAAATTTCTTGAAATGCAGTACATATGTATGTATTTTTTTGTTTAATATATATCTATATATATATATGTGTGTGTGTGTATATATTTGTCCGTGTATAGAAATTTCATTCTTTCCTAGCTATCGTATCGCCAGGGATATCCATTAAGATTTTTAAGAGAAATATGTATTGAATGTCCAAGTAATTTTTCTAGTGAGTGAATGTGTGTGTGTATAAGTAAGTGTATATAAGTTGTCTTGTATATAGAGTCCAAAATGATACACTAACTGATATATACGAGTATGCATACGAGTATCGTGGCAAAAAGGGTTAATATAGCGCATCAAAATGATATACATATGTGATTATGCATATATGTATGCTATGGTATACATGATACAGTTACCAAAACAAAAAAAAAACAAAAACACAAAGAAATCTCGCTCCTAACTGTGTTGTCTATGTGTGTGTGTGTGTGAAAGTATCTGTGTGGGTGTAAGCATGCTTGTGTGCTGGCCGCTGCTGCTGATTGTGTATACGTCACGTATGCCGCTTCCAAAAATACGCTTAAAGCTGCTTTAATACTGTAAAATTGTTGCTTGGTTGTTCTTTCCTTTCCGGTTTGTTCTTTCAGTAAAGTAATGTCTTTCGCTCACATCTGATAGCAGTTGTTGTAAAAAAGCTAGGTAGGTTCGCTTCAGTGTCAAAGAGTGTGTTGTGTCATAGAGTATGTGTGTGTTTGTTAGAGTGTGGTGTTCTGGTGTCTTGTCACTTGATATGTCTGAGTTCATACTGCATACAAGTCACTGGCAATATATAGTCTCAAATACATATACATATTAAAAAGTATATATGTGGGTCTGGGAATGGCTGGGACCAACTCAAAGTCGCATCGCGAACGCTGCACGCAAACGAAAAAGTCGCCTCACGCATATACATACATATGGATGTACGTAGTAGTACGTCAACCAAAATCGAGTGTCTTGTCTCGTGTATTTTTTGTGTATTACGATCATTGTTAATACTATTCTTCATGTTTGCATTCTCAGCATTTTGTGAATCGATTTTGATTTCGATTCACGTTCGTTTTTAATACATACTAATCTCCATGTTTGCATTCTCAGCATTTTGTTAATCGAATTCGATTCACATTTACAATTTAACTAATTAAAGCCGTTTTCAATTCAACAAACAATCTGTAGCTTAAATTCTTGCATTCATCGTTATCATTATTGTAAACGCATTCCCCCGTCCCAACCCGATCCGATCAGGGAAGGGAGGAACACATCTACAGCACCACATTTTGTTACTTTACACGCTGCCTAGGCAAAGGAAAATAACCCATACAGAACCTCATTATTTTATGCATTTAATGTACTCTATACGTATGTATATAAATATATATATTTGTAATTAGTTTTACATATACTCGTATTATATTGAATTTCTTCTAAATTGTTTAGTGGCTTTTCTAGTAGATTTGTTGCAGTTTAATTGTTTTCTTGACACGTTTCGTAGCGTACTTTGTGGCGAAATATTTTACACAATTACTTGATTGGCTAGTGGCATAATTTATCATAACGTTGTGATATATAATATGTATATATTTATATGTAGTATATATAGTGTAGTACATATGCTTATACGCTGATGGTTGGGGCTCTGTGGCTGTAGATCTTTAGCAAGTCTTCTTGAGTTTGAAGCTATAATTTCTTAGGCATTATTTAAAGTTTACTTTGGTATTGCCGCCGATAAATTAGATGCGCTTCCAAAGTGTATATCTGCCAGCTGACATTATTAATATATCCAGCAGAAACGACCGACCCGACTCGCGCATCTTGCTACTATTATTATCCTTCCATTCTTTTGTACACTCCGGTCACACTCCACACTTCACTCAAACTTCTGACTGAGTCTGCATTTAATTAACGTTATGAGGCTGCTAAATAAATATATATATATATTTATATTTATAGTTGTATATATATAGGTATATGTGGTTGTATGCATCTATGGGTACATATGTGGGGTATTATTTTCTTAGGGGGGACTTTCACTTTCGGCTCGCTTTGCACTACTTGCATTTTATTGCTAATTTGACGATAATTCCTCGCTCCTGTTTCCGTTTCCGTTTCCTTGTTGTACCTTACACATACCACTCCTTGACGTCCTTGGAGTCGCGTTTCTTGGCCTTTGGCTGTACGAGACCGGCCATTTGGGGCCTGCCATCGCTGCCGTAGCCCAGGGATCCGCTGCCGCTGGACATCATGCCGCCACCTCCTCCTCCTCCTCCTCCGCCGCCGCCATTGCCGTTGCCGTTGTGTCCATTGTGCATTTGCTGCTGGCCATGGAGCTGCTGCTGCCCTCCGGCCGCACCCTGATGGTGCTGGCGCTGCTGGTGATAGGATCCATTGGTGCTGGTGTTGCCCAACAGCGCGGCGTTGGGGTTGTGTGATCCGTAGGCAGCCGCCTTCTCACTCTCCGTCTTGTAGCCGCGATCCCCGTTCGACTTGAGCCACAGCACCAGGAGAATGACCAGGACGACGGCTATGAGAATGCCGGCCACAATGCCGATGATCATGGCCGTGCGCTCCTCCTCGATCGAGTTGATGCGGCCGCCCTTGGCCTTGGGCCGGTAGTTGTTCACGTTCGTGTTATACGTATTGCCGCCATAGGGTCCGTACGGAGGTGGATCCTGCGGCGGCAATGGTGGCGGAAGCGGTGGCAATGGGTGGTGCTCGTCCGGCAGCTGCATGCGATCGTGATCGTTCCTGCCAGAACCACCCATGCCACCTCCGGCCACGTAGATATCGAAGGGCGTTGTTTCCCG